TTGAAAACTCAGCTGAGTCATAAAAACTATGCTGGTTTTTCTACTTTCATCATTGAGCCTGTTGGTTTTTGTCTTTGAGCTTACAATTAAGAATGTGTTATGAAAAAGTATGAATCATTTTTATGAGATTGCAATGCTTGACGAGAGGTAAGAACAGTAACTGAGTTTGTTGCTTCTGAATGTTTGGCTCCCGTTTGACAGTTCTGACTGGCTCCCAAGTGACAAGCACATTGAGTGAGTCCGCAGTACCCAGGTTCTTATCTAGCTCCAAAATCTTCAAATACAACGGAGACAGGTTTTGCAGCTGAGTTATTAACGAAAGAGATACACACTTCGAAAAAGTCATGTAAATTTCGGTTCCCTGAGACCGACACATGTAAGCGGCCCTTTTGACATAAGAATCAGTTGAAAGAAACGAGAAAATCAATTCAATCAAACGTTCTCTTCGTCGAGTTGCTTATGTTTCGGTTTGACAACACTTAATTTTACATGAAATATTTGTTTACGTTCCATGATTTACATCCAATATGGATTACGTCTCGTGTAAAAGTAATTATTTCTTAGTGTGTAGTCGATGAAGAGATAGGACCTTTTGAAATGTGTATCTAGATATGGGTTGAAGCTTTGAAGGATGTTGCTGACTGGTGAAGGTATCGGGAATGCCAAATTTTGTGTTTAAACGTTATTCTAAGAAATATACCCAATACTCCAAGCATCCGGAATTTAAGTGAATCCCTAACTCAAGGGTTACAACTTTCTCTTACACTGCTTTGATGAATTCTCAGTTCATTCGCAGCTAGAACGGTGTTTTACACTGAAAAAAGTTTTAGCTGAATATCACATAGCATTAGAAATTCTATATGAGAAATCATATAGATTTCATTGGACACATAACGTTCATGTGATTTAGTTGTGCAATTTCCAAATATGGGATCACATAGAAGTTATGTGAAATTCACATGGATATTTTCCACTGGTTATGTGATTTATTTTATGAGTGTAGGAACAGCGTTCATAACTATTTTTTAACCCACACACATTAGCGTAGCTAGAAAATTTATCTAGGGGGGCCTGTGGATTTTTTTTTATTTTGCTAAACTACGGTTAAATAAAAAATCGCAAAGATGCTTGTTTTTGGGCGAGGGGGGCGACACATCTAAAATGGCATGTGGATGGCACATAAGATGAATCTACATTTTTCGTTCAGTGTAGTTTCTTCAGATTAGACATCCTACCGTTCGCTGAATCAGGCTGCATCGTCTTTTTCGATGCTGTAAAAGATGCAAAAGATAGACGTAGTTTTTGACTTAGCTGTCAGACCAAAAAATGAGTAATTACATTTGAGTATGAGTTCTCAGTGAAAAATTTTCGGCTTTTTAAACCCTTCCGTAAATTAAACTGTTTTAACTGATGAGTGTTGTTTTATTACATTTCTTAATATATTGTGTAACGGGTTTTTAGAGATTATTAACAGTGATTTATTAAAACTACGGGATAATGTATTGTTTATAGTTACTAAAACAGCGTCAAAACTTTACTAGTGGACGGACAATTAATTTCTTCAATCATTTTCTACGGACATTTGATCGGACGGTAGCAAACCAGCAATTACTGCTTAAATAGACTGTGCATATTTCTGAAAACTCGGTTATCGGCATCCTTTTCCATGAGCGCGGTGGAAGAGGAACTGAAAACCAAAACAGACATCTATAAAATTCGTTTTACGGAGCTCAAAAGTTACGTGAACCAGCTCTCACAGGATCAGTCGTTGTCGTACAGGTACGATCCTAATCTTCACCCACTTATCGGGCAAGCATCTGGACCTGGTTTACACGAAGGAACTGCAGAATATCTCCAAAGCAGCTCGGCAAGTTTTTCAAAATATCATCAAGGAAAGCGAGGTACCCAGGTTTGTTGAGAAACACATATTGAATGAGAATTTTTTGGCTAGTACGGCTAATACCAACTTGCTTCGCTCTTGAGGTTTAGCACGGAAGACAATCGGAAGATTTACTACATTCTGGTGATGGCTGGAAGATGAGCTCTAGGAAAAGATCAAAAAGAGCTATATCCGACGACTGCGAGATCGTCATGCTCGATCTTGAACCTGCACCACCGATTCGCACCCGCCTAGAATGTTCCCGTACTTGAGCAATGTTGTAAGGCTTTTTGACATTTATCAACCCATTAGATTTGCTATCGCCATTCCGGCCACAACCGGACAGAGTTCCACCATAGAGGTAACTTGGTTCCACCGTGTTCAGTTCCTCACGTCAGATATTCCACAGGAACTTCCGTTGATGCGGCAAAAGTCGAAGGGTAGATAAGGATAACCACTCTCTGTCACAACAGGGTACTCGTCTCCGCAAACCGAGTGTCATAGCACTGGAAAATTCTTGGTTAATATAACAGCACTTCAAAGTAATCCATCAAGCATCTTACGATCTGCAAAGCTTCTCGATTGGAAAATGGATCAGTGATACCAGTCTCCGATTCGTGAAACTCAAATTTCGGCGTTGGCGATTTACAATTCTAGATAAACATTTCAAAAGGTCTTATCTGCATTGAATTTCAAAAGTATTCCTTGCTCTGTTCAAAGTTCTATGCGCAAGACAATAGCTTCTGCTATCAAACTATGTGGCAAAAAGAGCACGAAATATGTTTGCGTGGTTATCAAAAGAGAAAGTTGATGAAGAGAATCGATCAAAGCAGATAGGACCTTTTAAAATGTTCATCAAGAATTGTGGTACTAAGGTCACTACTTAACCTCCAACTCGCAGCAAAATGTAAACAAACAACTTTGATTCGCTACCCCGCTTGCTGCTTTTGTTCGTTCAGCGATTGGTTCGATCGCGACAAGATGCCAGACGATAGAAAGATGCGAAAGAAGTGAAAGTAGATGTCATAGATGGAAACAGATAGTGTACGGTAAATAAATATACAAAATATATGTGAGATTTGCAATAAAATGAAGATAATCTAGATGTGTCGCCCCCTCGTTTTGGGGTACATTTTTTCTGTACCAAAAATATGACATTGTGGCTTACTTTTATTTTAATGGTGAAACAATAAATTGAATTACATTTATTTCATAGCAATGATTGGGATCTCGATATCACCTTAAAAGCTTACTGAATTTGAACAAGCAATGATCCTTTGTTCATGCTTTTTGCAATGAAATCACCTAGCGTCCGGATGTTATAAATTGAAGCATCTTAAACTTAAAAAAAATGCTCAAAGTAAGGTAATTCCACGAGTTTTTCGAGGGGGGCGACACATCTAAATCTCAATTCTAGATGCTCAAAAAATCTCACACTAGCGAATAAATCTTCGAAAATCTTCTTTCATTTCTCGCATCTACTTGCATCGCACATCATCTTTTGCAGGAAATCTTCAAATTCGTGATAAATCTTCTTTCTGTCTACTCAGCGTACGTGCAGCTAGCCACAGCAAAATACAATATTTCCTGCATCGTAGATAGAGTCGTCCCCCTCGGAATTTTGTAAATAGCTAGTTTTAGATTCTGAATATTCCATCATCATGGAGGTGAACCAGCCCCAGGCTGAAAGCCTCCCGCATAAAAAAAAACCTAACCTAATCTATTTCATCATCTGTTAAATCTCAGACATAGGGGAAATGGATGTAATGTCGGCCTAAATGCCCCTAATTTGAGCCCATACATAAATTCACCAATCGACTAAACTTTCAATAGCGATTAAAAATATCCATTAGTACCGTCCCAATGAAGCGTTCATCTAGCGTTCATGATAAATAGCAGATTTTTAGCTATGGGCTCAATCTTATATCCATAGGCCAACATTAGCCATTTCCCCTATGTAGGAAGCAAAATTAAGTTCTACACGCAGATAAAACTATCATCGAAACAAACATATTTAAGGTAAATTTAAACGTGAACTCAGTTTGTTCTGGCCACAAAAATAAACTACGTTGATTTCAAACGTATTCCATGTTAGAAGTCATGTAACATTAATATTTAAAATAAAAAAAATTATACGTTTATTTGAAAAATATTCGTAATGAAAATAAACGTAAATATTATTATTTATTTGACAGTTTTGTTAACAGAAATAAATATGATTATTTTAAACATGCTTTTCATTTTTGTTAACAAAATCGTCGAGTTTATTGTAAACGTACATATTTAGAAATTATTTTAGTTTGCACGATAAAGCAAATAAAAGTGTTCGAGATGAATTCCTTTAACCGATCCGTATTAACGAACGATTGATCGTGAATACAAAATCTGAGTTATTATTTTCAGCGCAATAATCTATTACGGTGGGAAGAACGCAATATTGGTTAGGTTTACGCCAGTAAGCATTTCTTGAATTATGTAGAAAAACGAATTTTAACATGCTCTGAATACGTCAACAAGCTGTTCTTAGCTTTAAATATCAGCCCATTGGCTGATAACCCATAATGTTTTGGATGCGACTACTTTGCTCAAATTTCACGTAAATTATATCGATGAAAGCCTATTATTTTAAAACAAAATTCGTGCCTTTCGATTTGATTAATTCAGTAAATATAAGTTATATGAAGCGTCGCCATATGAATTCCTATGATGATGGTTTCTGGCTTCGGCTTCGGCGCGTCCTATTTTCAAAGAAACAGACAATACTTCATCGCGTATTCGGAGACAGGTGTGTAATTTAGCTAAATTACACACATGTCTCCGAATCTGTGATGAAGTATTGTATGTTTCTTTTGAAACAAATTCGTATGGTGACGATTTCGGCGCGTTTTGTTTCCAAATAAACAGACAAAATTTGAGCAAACAAACAGTCAGCCGCTTTCTTTGCGATGAATTACCAATCAATTCTGACAGGTCACGTTCACACCATCCTCTTACGTGTGCCAACTTGCATAAAAACTTCACTAATCCAAAATAACATTCACAAGTCACGCGTTCGACTTTTAAATTCCACCGGAATGCCCCCAAAAGGGGTTTATTTTTGACAATTCTCATTTGTTTTTACCTCAAACAATCCGCATCCACATGTTCAACGAAAACATTCCAAGGCACAACACGCCGCAGAAGCTGAAGACAGGCAAAACCGCTCCGATCGCCAAAAATCCAACCGATTACATGTGCTTCTTCAAAATAAAATGCACCTGATTCGTTTAGTTTCACTTGCTTGTTTTCCGATCACACTGCACTTCACTTCACTAGGAAACTCGTTCAACCACAACGAACGTGGGCAACAAAGTGGGTGGTAGGAGAACCACTCTAGCAAATATTCAATATAGAATCGCAGTAGGCGCGTAGAATTTGATTTCACCAAATTCGGACAGTTCGAAAATCTCAACAGTCCTTGCATGCACACGCGATGCAACTTCTCGTTGGGTTACTTGGATACAGTTCTACGGAAGAAATAACCGATCTACTAGCTATCTCCGACGGACGTGATCGTGTCAACTGGTCTCAAAGCAGGCACCAGCTTAAAGTCACAACCAACCGGGCAATTAACCGCCACCGCGAGACGCGCGCAAGATGATGAACACTCTTCCTGTCCTGTTGGGACTCGCGCGGATGGATGGAACGTGTTTTCGCGGCAGAAACTGGCCCGTAACTGATGATCGCCGTCGTACTGGCACGGGTAAGTCAATCGCTAATTTTCCAATCAGAGAGCTGTGCGAGAGGTGCTTCGGCTTCGCGCAGGCACTTTACAACTTCTGGTACCACCACCCTCCACCGCCGTCGCTCAACTGGTTAAGCTACTGCGGCTGTCGCTGCTGACTGGGGCGGGTGGGTGAATTCTCTGTCACCAACTGCAATCGGTCGGCAAAGCGCAGGTATTTTTCGAAGGAAATCGAATAAAATGGCAAGCTGTGCAAATTCAAAACACGACACGGAACGGTCGTCATAGAGCAACTCTATACACGGTTATTAAACAGTGAAACCGATGACGAGGAGCAATCCACTTTCAAACCAATCGCATGCTAGCGATTAAGTACGACTGCCGATTTGAGCTCCGAACGGTCAGGCTCGGTAAGGAACGGAATGAGAGTGAAGTCGGAGCGCGGTGAGCATTGTAGAAGAGAGATTCTCAGGAAGATCCTCGTTCGTTGCTTTGATCAGGATCAAGTCATTGGAACGTGTAATTGGCAAAGCATGGCAAGAAAGAATGTAGAAAATAAGATGTTAAAACCCTGACAAACGTTTACCACCCTCTGCTGCCTGACAGGCTGTCAAGCATCATCAGTAGAGTCCATGACTTGCCTGCAAGTGTGAGTTGGGTTGATGGCTCTCTTCTTATCGCTCGTTGTTCGGACGATCCTTTATCTCGATGTCGATGTGCTACAGTGAGACGATTTTTAGCGTGGTTCAGGCTTAGTCGGACAGTAAGTGTGGGTCAACATAAAGCTTCGCATCCGTCACCATATTCATCTCAAATCTTCAAAATTGCAAATTTATGTTAAGCTCTTAAATATGCGTCTTCAGAAAAAGCAGTCGGTAGTTTCTGCAGAAGGTCAATATGAGCCTAGTTCCGTAAAATTGTATAATGTAATTTCATAATTATCAATATCTATTATCATTATCACACCTATCTCTATCACGTATCCCGATCCCTATTAAAACTGTTTCTTTCAGTGATACCACAGACAAACAGACATAGCTCTATACATATTTTTTCTTCAAAATCGTCACGGACTCGCTAACGACATCCCGCGAGTCATTCTAAGCAACTAACTAACTAAGCTCACTAACGACAACAGGGTTAAAAGAGAAAATCGAAGAAGATAATTGATCATTTCAATTAGGCACTTTTGAACCTGAATCCTTGATTTCAATATTTGGGGTGTGCAGTTTCGAACCCCTTCGGATTAAAGCCCTGCAGTACACTCAAAAAATTCCACACGTCATCATCATGTGTGCAGTGTTCACTCGGCTGTCGACAAAAGCAGGCCACTCACGATGTGTGCCACGCGATCGTCTGTTTTCTCGGCAGCAACCATTGTTTGGTCCTCATCATTGTTCTTCGTCGTCGACTTTGGAAAGCAACCGTTTAGTGATGAGTGTGTGAGTGCTGACCACGTTTTGCGTCCATTGCTGCAATGGAAGCACTCTGACCCTCGTTGGCGTAACTGCCATACAATGAAACCACTGGAAGCGGCTCCAGTTCTCAAAAATCATCATGTGTCTCACACTAAATGTTGCACTTATTGTTGGAGGTAGAAACCTAGCAAGCGACGAATAATCGAAGCAACCTACAAATAAATGTATTCTCATAGTCTGAAATAAAATGACATTCCAAATTTGTCTCTCATCAAGCTAAGACATATTTTCAAGTAGTAGTAAATCCGGTCTACGGCCATATCACATTCAAGAGGTTTTGGGCCCGAAGAAGTTCAAGATGGAAAAATCCGGAATAACGAAGCTGACGAACGAAAACTACGGAACCTGGAAGCTGGAGGTGGAATTCCTGCTGGTTCACGAAGGACTATGGAAGTACATCGTGCCCGGAGTCAAGCCGGAAGAGGCTGCAAACCGAGCGAACGCGGCGGAGCTGATTGCCTGGGACGAAGGGGATCAGAAAGCGCTGCTGCTGAGCAGGAATCAACACGGCCATATCCGGGCTACGAAAACCGCAAAGGAAGTATGGAAGAATCTGGAGAAGCAACATGAAAAGAAGTCACTAACGTCGAAGGTTCACCTGCTGAAGCGGATTTGCGATCTCAAGTTCCAGGAAGGAGACGACATCGAGGACCACCTGGTAGAATTCGAGAGTTTGTTTGAAAAACTGGCCAACGCTGGTACGAAGCTCGACGACGATTTGCAGGTAATCCTGGTGTTCCGCAGTCTACCAAGCTCTTTCGACGCGCTGACGACTACCCTCGAAAATCGGTCGGAGGACGAGCTGACGCTGGCCCTTGTAAAGGATAAAATTATCAATGAGGTGCAGAAGCGAGACTGCAGAATTTGGTAGAAGCAGAGCCAGGATGAAGTTTCTCGAAGTGAAAAATCGGTTGCCTAGGAAACCAAGAAGTTTGCCAAGCAACAGGCAAATGCAAGAAAAACGGAGTCCACTGAAGAGGATTTCGTTTTCAGCGCTCGTGAAGGACCAGTGACGAAATGGATCGGGGATTCTGGAGCCAGCTCCCACATGTGCGCCAATCGAAAGTTTTTCGTATCCGTTGAGAAACCACGAGATGATATCCCAAGTTTCGTTACTGTCGCTAATGGGAAGAAAGCATTCGTGAAAGGTGTGGGGAACTGCCAGATCCATTGCTACGAGAAAGACAGCGAAGCGAAGCAAATCGTGCTCACCGGTGGCCTGTACGTTACAGATCTGGATATGAACCTCGTTTCCGTCGGGAAACTCGTCCAGAAAGGCGCAGCGGTAGAGTTCAACGACAATGGCTGTACGATTGTCAAAGGTACACGGATTGCGGCTGTAGCAAGGCGTAGCAACGGTCTCTACCACTTGCAGATGGAGGAACGCGTGGGTGCGGCAATTGAGCATTGCAATAAGAAGAACTGTTTGCATGACTGGCACCGTAAGCTCGATCACCGTGATGTCAAGGCAGTCCAAGAACTGGAGCAACGACAATTGGCGACGGGCATCAATATTAAGCAGTGCGGTTTGGTTTTGCCTTGTGAGACCTGTCTTCAGGGAAAGATGGCACGACTGCCATTTCCAAAGGAAGCAACGAAGAAAACGACGGCTGTGATGGACCTGGTACACAGTGACCTGTGTGGACCAATGAGGACGGTGACCCCGGGTGGTCGTCGTTATTTCCTGACGCTTATTGACGACCACAGCCGGTACACAACGCTGTATCTGATGCGAGAAAAATCAGAAACATTTGACGCTATCCAGGACTATGTGCAGAAAATGAAGACGAAGTTTGGTAGACCGCCGAAAGTGCTGAGATCCGACCAGGGAGGCGAATATCGTGGCTCGAAGATCATGACGTTCCTCAAGCGTGAAGGTATCCAGCAGCAATTTACGGCAGCATATTCACCGCAGCAGAACGGAGTCGCAGAAAGAAAGAATCGTTCCTTGGTGGAGATGGCCAGGTGTATGCTTTTGGAATCAGGTATGCATAATCGCTACTGGGGAGAAGCAATCAACACAGCAAGTCATCTGCAAAACATGTTGCCAACGAAAGCGGTTAATCAAACTCCGTACGAAATTTGGCATGGAGTCAAGCCGGACGTTTCGAACCTGCAAGTGTTCGGAACATCAGCGTACGTATTTGTTCCTGAAGTCAAACGGTCGAAACTCGAATCCAAAGCCGAAAAACTTACTTTTGTCGGCTACTCGTTGCAACACAAAGCGTGGCGTTTCATCAGCATGAAGACGAACAAAGTGACGATTAGCCGGGATGCCCGATTCCTGCCTTCGATGATCGACAAGGGGGAAATTTCCACTGAGGACGGAGGTACGTTATTCTTTCTGTTATCGCTATTCAATCAAAACCGTAGTGAAACGGATACACCGGAGGAGCTGAGACAACCTGAACCAGCAATCGATCGTGAAATCGTGGAAGAGGAAGATCTCCACGGTGTTGAAGAACTTTCGGATACGAAGATGCTGATGAAGCAGAAGCACTCGATGGAGGTGAGTCACAGGAGGAGCCGGTACCAATCCACGTAGAGCAAGATGTAGGTACACAGCGACTATCAACCAGGGTGACGAAGGGTATTCCACCGCAACGCTACTGTGCCGACAGTCGGGTTGCACATCACGACAATGACGAGCCGCGCACCTGTCAAGAAGCTGTGACTGGTCCGGAGAAAGACATGTGGAAGCAAGCCATACAGGATGAATTGCAATCGATGTACGAGAACAACGTGTGGGAGTTGACCATGCTGCCGGCTGGTAAGAAAACCATTGGATGTCGCTGGAAAACGGACGAGAATGGAAGGGTCATCCGGTACAAGGCGCGGCTTGTCGCTCAAGGGTTTACGCAGAAATATGGAGTCGACTACGACGAAGTTTTTGGTCCCGTGGTGAAGCAAACAACGTACCGGACACTATTCTCCGTTGCCTGCCAGAAGAAACTTCTCATCAAACATGCAGATGTCAAGACAGCGTACTTGAATGGTGAGCTACAAGAACCCGTCTACATGCGGTTGCCTCCTGGATGCACAACGGATGCAGAAAACGTGATTTGTTGTCTTCGCAAAGGATTGTACGGGTTGAAGCAAGCCGCCCGTATTTGGAACCACAAATTGGACAAAACGCTGATACAAATGGGGTTAAAGCCGTCCAAGAACGATTGTTGTCTCTACGTCATGCAGAACAGAGGTAAAATCGCTTATATTGCTGTATATGTTGACGATTTCATTATAGCATGCGAGACTGAAAACGACTACAAGGCCATTGTTAATGAGCTGAACCAATATTTCCCGGTGACGTCGCTCGGGGATATCCAGCACTTCCTTGGTATCCAGGTCTTCCGTTCCGAGAAACACGTTGCACTAAGTCAGAGAGCCTACATCCAGAAGCTTCTGACCAGAATCGGTTTGGAAAACGCGAAGCCATCCGCTATACCATTGGACCCAGGCCACCTACATCCAAAGGAGGAGATCCCGCTGCCCAATAACCATCAGTATGCCAGTTTGACTGGTGGGTTGTTGTACGTGGCCATGTGTACTCGACCTGATGTTGCAGCAGCTGTTACAATCCTGGGGAGAAAAACTAGTTGCCCATCACAGGCTGATTGGGTGGAGGTGAAGCGTATCCTGAGGTACTTAAAAGGT